TATATATATATAGTAGAGCGTTGAGTAAGAGTTGGCTTGTTGTTGAAAACATCAGAGACTATCCAATCCTTTTCAATACCACCCATGGGTTGTGTCCTCAGCATCCACCTGGGGTGAGGAAACCTCTTGACCAGTCCGCCTCAGAGCCGCAGTCCCTCCTTGGGACCGGCGTGCACACACACACATGCACGCACACGCACACATGCACCCACATGTGACATACACCTCTGCTACAGTTCCCTTCTCCTCACCTCCCCCCCAAAAAACCTAGAACAGGAACCAAAACAACAAAACAAAAACAAAAAAAAAAAAGCAAGGACAAAAGGAAAACAAAATCACAGCTGGACCCTGTCCTACACGAGGTGTTAGAAAACAGGAGCCATGACAACACATTCATTTCCACTAAGGGTGTGTGAAGCAGATACTGCCCCTTCTGTAGCTCTCGATAAACCTAGTCACTGACAAACACTTGTGGAAAAACATATGCACCAGTCTCCTGCATAATACCAGCTGCAACTATAACAACAAGGTTATAACATAAACCTAAAATAAGATGATAACATGTAAATACTGGGTTATTTAGTCTACAGTACAGTAATCTGGATAAAAATGACAAGGGATAGCCTAATTTCCTTTCCCCAAACAACTTTTACTTTCCTACATTGGATCGACCTTCAATGCAAATCTTAACCTCCTGAGGAATAAAAGAAGGCTTGGGAAGAGTCAAAGGTGGCTCCTCTTCTGATTTCTCTAGTTTTCGTGTTTCTGGGGCTGACCACCTCCTCTTCCTCGTTGCCGGGGGCTTGCTGGGTTCTGTTTTGGTGAGCAAAGGTGCTGCAGGCAATCCTATTTTGTCCGGAAACTTCAGTTCACCGTTCTCAGCTAACATCTGTGCGCTTCCCTGATTAATCCCGTTTTCCTGCTCCGCATACCTGTGTCTACTTCCAGCTAGACTGTCATTCTTTGAATGCTTCAGCAAGATACTAGCTGAGTCCATGGGCTGGCCCTTTTTAATAGAGCCATTCTTCAGGTTCTTGAGCGTGAGCGATATGCAGACGTCCCCCACCGAGAGTTTGGAGCATGGCAAATCAAAGAGCTGGCTGGTTCTCTCAGGGCAGCAGGATGACCAGCCTTGTCCAAATACAAAAAAAGGGTATTCTACCAAGACTTCCACGCTGACCTGCAGGGAGAGAGGGGACAACAGAGAGAGACAGAGGGAGAGAGAGGGGAGAGTGTGAGATCACCCGTATGCACGCGCACGGCAGGCACCGCTTGCTGCCGTGGAGAGGGATAAAGCTGAAATCACGAAAGTGCTGTTCAGTTTCTGCAATATCAGTACACTGACACCTGCCTTCACGTCTATCCTTGTCACATGGGTGTCAATGCTTTCTTCAAGATCTTCCTACCACGAGACCTCAGTGGGAATCAAGCTTTAGCTTTACCCAGCTGCTCTGAGAGGTGTAAAAGGCAAACCAGCTTTGGCATATGGCAAACTCCATGCCCTGTCATCCCCATCTAAATACTTGCAAACCAGAGGATGGCTCAAGGGAAGCTCAGATCTGACACAATTTTCTAAATGACCACAAACACCACCATCCTCACCTCTGCTTGAACAAGCGTGTACTTACCAGTGTGAAACAGTGCAGGCATGCTGATTTCCAGGGGAAGGCCACGAGTATGTACAGAGTTGTAGCCGTAAGAGCAGGGAGCAGGAACCTGCCTTCCCCCAGCAGCCCTTTTACCAGTCCAGTTTCTTCCCTTCTCATACCTGCTCTCCAACTTTGCAGTTGAGTTCACTTCCTGCACTTCCTCAGGAAGAAAGAGGATCATCTCTCCTCCTTCTGCAGCTCCTGCACTGGGTCTCCTTTTCTGCACTCTGTCCCCCTTCCCCCCACTTTAAAAACACATCTGGTTATGAATCCTACCTAACCATCTTACAAGGAGATGCCATAGCCAGGAGAACAGACCAGCAACAGGCACTCACTGCTCCTTGACCTTGTGAATGCTGGGCCTTGAGGTCACAACGTGATAAAGCACCTAAATACCTGCTTATCTTTGCATGTGTCAGCAGTCCAGTGATCACTGCATGGTGCTGTGTCTGCAGGCTCAAACACTTGATGTGGCCCCACGTAAATCACCACCCATGGGGCTGAGTGCCCGCCCCAGCACACCACATGAGGGCAGGAAATTTGGACCAATACTTTTTTTAACATTTGGCACATGATTTTAACTTGCTGTGTGTGGCACCGGTGAGGTCTGTTACTTTAAGAATGTGGCTTATGCTACAGTCAGATATCCACAGCTCTGCACCCAAGATCCACGTGTCCTCTGGAGCTCTTCTTGGGCACTGTGGGCAGGATCCTGCTCTGATATTGTAACCCCTATTCGGTAGGGGCTAAAGGGCAGGAGAACACCTGAATACAAGTGCTCATCTCATTTCTGAGGCACTCGGCAGGCATGGAGCATACCAGCTGCCTAGAAAGCCTTCCCTCTCCTTGAACACAGACTCACTTGAAAGGAACATCACAGCAGGCTTGTGAAGCCACCTCTCACCCTGGAAGCAAGTTAATGCTGTCATACCGAGCATGACTTTGTATCATCAAAAATACATTTCAACATTAAGGAATAGAAGCAGTCTGAGATGCACAGTGCACTCCAGTGTTCAAACACCTCTGTTCATAATATTAAGTGTGAACCTTGGGATGAATTTGCATGGCCTGTCTCACAGAAAAGGTTGGACTCAATGGCAGTATGGCACCCAGCAGCCCTGATGCCTCCTTGCTAGCGCTGCTTACCCTCAGAGACACCCTCCCTGCAAGCAGGGCCTGAGGTACCCTTGCAGCCCACCAGATCCACATCCCTTTTGGGCAGGAAGACTTGATCAGTGATGTCCCACAGCTCAGACAGGAGCTTCAGAACCAGGAACCCAAAGATTCCGATCAGATATTGACTGTGCCTCCAACTGGTTAAGTCCATGCCATGTACTAGCAGCCAACTGCTGTTTATGAGACAGCTGATAACGTTAGGAAAAAACCTTATGATGTCTATAAATATATGCTATGTACCTCTGCAACTAGGCCAACGAGTAACACTGCATGTATTATCCTGCCACTCCACCTGCCCAACGTAGTAAGCCACTATATAAGGAATTTCAAAAGGAGCAGTTTAGAGGCACAAGATAACCCCCACTACATCAATTTCTGTCATATTAAACCTTCTCCAACCACAACTGTCTACCAAGAGTCACCTACACACATGGCAATAATATAGGATAATGTAGGCAATAGGACCTGATTCTAGGCCTGGTTTATGCTCTGAACTATGGAGAAAGTAGGGTGAAGTAACCGTGAAAGTCCCATCCCTCCATGTCATTGGATAGAAACGCTCCAGTGCCAGATTTGCGTAAGTATTTGCCCAGAGTTTGGGATCTTGTTCCATACATAGTGGGGGGTCCAACTGGGAGCAGTGGTCAATATCCAGTGGTCAATATCACTGTCTCCCATGGACTTAAATGGAAACTGCTGTCTTAAATGGAAATTGCTGTCTACACAGAGCTGTGAGCTTCTCTACAGGCAGAGATCTCTGGTGGACACAGCTTTCTCCTTTATATTGCTATTGCTATGCCTCTCCTCTTCCTGCCTGCTGATTTTTTTTTTCCTTCTTTTTCTGCTTTCCTATCCTTGTCAAAAGCTATTTATATCTGTGGGAATCATACACGCTTGTGTGCATCATCCTCGCCGACACACAAGTTCCTCTTGATGTGAACACACTTCCACATCATGTGGCATCCAAAACACTTGCCTGAACTGTCAGTCACTGAAACAAATCCCAGAATTGGCGGTGGTGATCATGAGTAACACCAAATAATAAAGGATGGTGAAATGCTGGAATTCCCATGATCCATTCACAGTGTGCATGTAGCACTACTGATTTGAAATGGGCTCCCTCATGATTATCAAGCCCTGTTTTAGCCGGCTGCTTCTGGATTTAGCTAACTTGGGATTTAAGGCAACCATTCTCTACAAACAATAATAGACAAAGCCCTTTAAAGCATTAAAATTCAGTAAAAACAACCCTGCATAACTTTTTTCTGCACTAAACCACTAAAAATTAATTCTAAAGCTCCCTCCCCCAATATCATCCCATGATTATTGTAGGAGAAAAAGAAATTTGGAACTTTTTCCCAGCTACTATGACAAAAAAGCAAGAAATGAAAATGTTGGTCCCTCTTCAAGCACAATAAGGCCCTGCTGCAAACTATATTTATATTTCTATTTTTTAAGACTGACTAGTGAGAACACCCAAAACTGTTCAGTGCAGCCACTGAGTATCTGCAATTTTCTATAACCCTTTGTGCTTTTATTTCTCAGCCGAACTCGGTAGGTAAGGCAGCCAATTCAGACTCAGGAAACCCTGGCTGGAGCTGGAACACAGATGATAGGTGCTGGAAGATCTGATGCCCAGAAAACACCCTTCCCATCATTCAGAAACGCAGCAACTTTAGTGTCGGGGCTCACTGTTGCAACCAATGCAACAAGCACTAAAGGAAAAGGTGCCTAAGGAAAAGTGGTTTGAGTGAACTGTATTTTAATAAATGTAAATATGCATTTTCCAATTAAGTGGTATCAGGTTTCCCCAATATTATTAAAATGTGATGAAACTAGGAGTGGCAGCCTGGAAACGAAGAGAAGGAAGCTGCTCTGGAACCAATGTGCAATTAAGCAGTGGAGCTCCCCACAGAAGGTTTTGCTGCTGGTGCTGAGAGACTCCTTGGGTCCAAAAAACAGCTGGGCAGACTGGTGGAATAGGAGCTCTCCCTCTCGCAGAGAGAAGTCTGTGCAGTGCCATGCTTCCATGTGACTGCCCTGACTCTGAGACTCTGGGACTACTAATGTTCCCACCACTCCAAACAACACCTGCCTTCAGCCAGCACAACACATGGTCTGGTGGGCATCCACCGGATGCATCTAGCCCAGCTTCAGTACACCATTATTACAATAAATGTCCCCAGGGCTTGAAGGTTAGGGGCTACTGCTCTCCACGTGATCCCACCATTCCTCAAGAGAAGCAATCTCTATCCACGAGTCCACTGGCTGCTGAGTTTATCACATGAGCTCTCATCTGCTGCGCTCCCAGAATTCAGTAACACGTATCCGAAGACAGATCACAGCTGCCTCATCACTTGGAGGAACAAGGACTTACTGCCCCATGACCAGGGGACACGGATATCACATGAGGGGAAGGCTGGGAGAGATCTCCATCTGCAGCAGCAAGCTGAGTCAACATCTCTTTTTCTGTCTGTTACAGTGCCAAAGATAATGAAAAGGAGAGTGCAGAGTAAAAGAAAAAGTAACTGGTTTGTGTGTGTGCAGAGATACAAGGGTAAAACTAAACAAGATGACAGTCTAAAAAAATACATACTAAACAAAGCTAACCAGAGCTACTAACTAGACACTCTAACAGGACTTTTCCATCTCTAGTGTCTATGATTCTGGGTTTCTTTAAAAAAGGAAAATTAAGAACTGTATGTTCATCTTTCTAAGCTATCCTTGAGGAATGATTAGGAACTGAAATGCAGGGATGAAAGCAAGCATTTCAGAGAACTTATTTTGCACCTCCTGTGTATTTTGGCCTTAACATTAATGGAGGTGAATTACTGGCTTCCTCTTGTTCCTGGCAGCAAAAGAAACAACAGGTAATAATGATGTGTTATTACAAGAATAATACGTGGAATTGCAAGGAGATGCAGATCCACAGGTCTTTTCTTTTAGCAACTTGAATGCAGAGGAGTAACAGCTAGACTTTGGGTTCTGGTCCAGTTGATACTTACTTGACTTCTTCCTAATCCAAAGTAGGGATGCTATGAAATGGAAACCTCCTATCTCTCCAGGGCTAAGGCCAGTTATTTCACTGAAAAGGCAGGTGGCTTTAGGTAGGTTAATTTTCCTCTGGGTTTCCATACCTGGAAGAGGGTTTGATCTGTCAGGTGACCGGAAGACAGGGAAAAGAGATAGGATGACCTCTTTCTGCTTAAGTGCTGTGCTGGGGAGGGGCAGCTGTGGGCTTGCAGTGATAGGATACAATAGCAGCTGCATGGTGCCTGCCTATTGACATTACAGTTGTACAGGCTCAGCTAAAAATAATCTCCTACCTCTGTCCCTCAACTGGTGAGAAAATTAGCTAATGTTTGCACAGAGTCTGAAAATACAAATTCATCACAATTATAATGACTTCCCAGAGATCCCTGGGAGGAGTACGTAAGTGAGCCAAAGCTAATGATAATAATGCTATTTTTGTATGGCACTTACTCTTTACAACTTATCCCTTGATAATACCATTTGAAAAGCTCCCTCCTTCCAGAAGTATGTATGTAACTGGAACTTAATTGTAATTCAATACTTTGCCAAGCTACACTACACACGCAGATACGTCCCCACTGTACTCCGGAGTCAAGAGGTATTTAAGTGCAGCAGCACCACAGTGCCACTGCTCAAAGCAGCACGACTAAATGCTATTTTTGCAACGAGAAGTCTAAGCCCTCTTCATGCAGGCAATTTTCTAACGAGCTATGATTGCTGTACACCTGCTAATAAGGCTAAATGCCTTCATATAGCAACACTGGGCTGAGGGAGGTCACGGAGACTTCAAGCACAGAGAAGCAATCTCTCTCCCTGTGTCTCAACGCAGGCAAGGAAAAACCGGCAGAGCCGTCCCTGCTATGCTGGGACACAGCTGATCTGGGAAGAGACCCAAGTCCTGGAATCTGCAGGAAACCTAAATTAAACTCTCGTTTCTAATCATATCTCTACGTGACTTGCCCTCCATTCTGGAAGCATCCCCGGTGGGAAACACAGCTGGGGAGTATTTCGGCTGCGATGATGTCAGCTTGCTCCTGATAGGCTTCTCCGTAAGGTGCCACTTTGCTGGGTGAGATCCATGTGCCTGGCCCTGCATTTTTACAGACTCGGCTTGCTTTCTGCCAGAGGATGGCACTCCACCCCCTGCAAAGGCGTTCTTCCCCGTGCCCAGGACTACAGCATATCGCCTGCGTTGACACGTCAGTGAACAAGACATGACAAAAGTGCTACCTGCTAATCTGTACCTCTTCTGCTGGTGCAGGGACCGGTGGCCTGGCGGCAGGAAGAGAAGCAGGAGCAAGATGAAGACTGCCAATGGGAGACAGCTACTTTTAAAACTCATTATTCAAGGCACCAGGGCAAATTACAGTAACTGGTCCCGATGCCAGGACAGTTCCTCTCATCACAAAGCCTGATGTGCACCAAAATCCAGTTGAGCAGTGGGGAAAAAAAAAATCACATCTTTATACTGAAAGCACCAGAGGCCCAACTTCTATCAGCTGTGCAAATGAACGCACATACATAAACAAAACTACACAGGGAATCTGCATGTTAGATATGAGAAAGGGGATATGTCATATGTAGTGATTTACCATGTATGCACAACTGGGGGAGGACAGGCCACAGACTGGTGTCTTGCTCCTCAGTACTGTCACTGTTTTTCTTCTTCAAACTGTCAGCCTGAGGTGCTTTACTACATGTGACCACATCCAGCTCCTCTCTCCCTCTCATTCTGTTCTCCAGTGCTGAGGGTGCAGCAGCAGGGCTACAGATGCTGCAGTTCACAGCACTCAAACCAAACCAAAAAGATTTGCAGTGAGATTATTTAGACTGAGTACCTATAGGAAGCAAAATGCTATCTGAACTGCTCCAGCCTCAATGCAGCAGAATCTATACCGCTGAGAAAACAGACAGCAGCAGGATGACGCTTTATGATCAATATGTACTCATTCTCAACCAAAAAATACTTTTGGAAAGTTACAGGTTTTCTTCCTACATTGCAAACCAATGAGAAACAAAGGTCAGAAGCACAGCACAGCCACCTAGATGTTCTTTCCAAATTTCCCTTGAACACACAGTTTATCTAAGCTATGCCGTGTTTAAACCAGCTGCAACCAAAGCCTCCAGAGAACTCTGTAGTGCACTTCAGTAACTTCTGTGTGTGACGGAGCCATTCCCAGGCAGCTCCAAGCTTTCAGGTGACAGAAATTCACTGCCTTGTGCACTACCTATCTCTTAAGAGTAGGATTTGAGCTGAATCTAACCTGAGCTTTCCAGTGTGAAAGGTAAAAATCACCTATCAAAATGCAAAATATATCCTCTCGTACTGCTTACGCCATTTTATATTTTAATCAAAACGCATGAAGATCATGTAATTCTTCCTGTGGGTTCTCCACTATAACAAAGACCTGGTTTATATCCAAGAGACTACGGTTATCACCAGTGTGACCCCGGTGACTCCTCCTGCACGGCGGAGCGCATGAGTTTTGGACCAGAGTTTGCCTCATGGATGGATGTGGATGATGAAGAACCACCCCTGTGCAGATCCAAAGTGACCGAGGCGTGCTGAAGAAAGCTGCACCTGGGGGAACACAGGGTGCACCCCAGTCCAACCCCCCTACCCCACCGCGCGTTGTCATTACCTGTGCTCGATGCTCCCCAACCGCAAACTGTATCACGGCAATGCCTGGGCTATGGCTGTCTTCAATCCTCTCCACAGTGCTGGAGTCTATTTTCAGGTCATTGCTAATTTCCGCGCTCTGTATGAAGTCTTCTGTTTTCAAGTCCTCTACTTTCTTCAGCTCCCCGTTGGCCAGCTGAATGATCGACCCCTTCATGAAGTAGGGGGGCAGCGTGGGGGGCGCGGCGGCTGGGGAAGCGATGGACTGCACCACGGGCAGGTGGATCTGCGCCTGCACCATGGTGGCCTGGTAGGCGGGCTGGGTGGTGAGGGGCTCCGCGCTGAAGTTCTCGCTCTTGGGGACGGCGGTGGTGACGAACGTGTGAGGCACTGCTGCAAACTGAGGAGACGACGTGACGATTGCAGGCGCAACTCCTGACGGCTCGACGTCCGCGCTGCCGACCGGTATCAGCAGGGACTGGGTGCCAGGGATCACCAGGTGCTGTGGCAGGGCGGCGCGGGGCCCCGGGGCGTTCTGC